TAAAAATTTCAAGTCAATCGGTTCAGCCGTTTTGGCTCTATCGTGCCGGACAGACGGACGGACGGACGGACGGACGGACGGACATGACGGTTCCATAAGCCCTGACTCGGGCTAAAAAACTCAAATAGTAAGATTTGAAAACCGAATAATAATTCTGTCAAAATTTTATAATATTTACTAAATTTACAGATTATCGTTTCCCACGCAGAAAATTTTAATTTCTGATTGCCTGGAACAAAATTTATCCTCATTTTATTTCGTAATTTAATAAAACGATAAGTTTTGAATACATATTTTGTCAAAATTATATAATCTTAATTACCTCCAAAGATAAAGTAGAAATTCATAATTTCAGAAAAATTTGAAAATTTCCATCCCCAAATAACTCACCAATAATGGAAAAAAAGATAAAGTGAGACAGCATGCGATCGCTCTTAGAAACTTAGTATTGAAAAAAACTTAACGGTATTGATACGTGACTCTACCGCCTTGGTATTAAACGTTATACCATATTGGTATTGAACCGGTATTGAAATTATACCTCATGGCAAAAATTTTAATACTAATTGGTACTAAATTTTTTACCATGTAGTATTAACTCAATGCCGGATCAATACCACGCGGTAGAGTCACGTATCAATACCAGCGGTGATTGATTTTTTTAAGAGTGATCAAATGAAGTAACATTTAATAAATTAGCAATTTTAGAAACATTTGGAAAATTTCTACCTGAAAACCCAATCATTCGATTATTTGCAAATGATGACATCATGTAGTGATGTTTCTATAAAAAAATGTATATTTTTTCTGCAACAAAATTCTTGCGTTTTAAATAAGTAATCAATTTAATAAAACTGTAAGATTTGGAAATCGAGTAAAGACGCTGACAAAATTTGATAATGCAATAAAAGTGAAAGATAAAGTACTGTTATGTTAGGTATTTCTGCCTTCTCCACGACGAATTGTTTAGTAAACACTGTAAAACTTCACAAATTCATAATTTGACAAAAATTTGCTCCAACTCTGCCCGCTTTTTCGACCTGTTTGCAAATGACGACATCATTTATTCAATTTTATGAACAAATTATAATTTTCTCGAACAAAATTATTAAGTTTTAATTTTTTATTAAAATTTAAATTCATAACTGAATAAGTAAGATTTGGAAACCGAATACAAATTCAGTCAAATTTTCGGATTTAATTTGAAGTTGAAAGATGCATCTTGGTTGGATTGTTGTTTGAGATAATTACGGTACAACAACTAGTAAAATTTCATTAATTAGTGATTATTAAAGTTTGCAAAGAAATGTAATTCCCTGCGGGAAAATTCTGAAATTTGATTTTTGGTTTCATAATTTAATACATATGTAAAACGATTGCATGCCAAATTCACCCAAGGACAGATTAAGGCCATGCCATGTTGAGTCAAGTCATACTGACCCCAATAGAGTAAGGAAAACCTCTTTGCTATTGAAAACCGATACCCAGGGGCAGTGTTTAAAGTGGTATTTACCACTTGGTAAATACCACTTTATACTGGTATACTGGTATACTGGTATTTACCGGTATTTACCACCAAGCTAAAAACTGGTAAAGTGGTATAAATCAGTTTGGGGTATTGTGAGACTAATCTTATCATACAAAGTTCACAAACATTTTGCAACAAATAATTATTTGATTGGTACATAGACACAATAAATATCTATAATTTTCATGTTAAACTGCATAAAAATATAAATAAGTAGCGACCACTATGCAGACTTGACACTAGTCCAAATAGTACCACAAATTCTTCGTGCTTTCAATGATTCCAGTTAAAAGTCACAAATTGTTATTTTCACAATAGGAGGGATCACTAAAATTATTTAAAATGATGAACTATTTTAAACGGTTTTAAAGCCTAACGTTTCAAATATTTTGAATATATATTTTAAATGTCACAATTTCAAAAACGTTAAAAATGCCGCGAGCAAATGTGTAGCAAAAAATATGCATTTATGATACATTAAATAATATATCTGTAATTTCTAGCTACGCTTAGCATATATTAAATTAAAGAGGAATTTTAAGTAAGATGAGAAATATTGGGGCTCCTCAGACAGTTCTCAAAAATTTCGCTTGCTTCGCTTGGTTAAAAATTTCGCTGCATTAAGCGAACAAGCGAGGCAAATCTGACTGAACACTTTTCGCTTAATAAGTCGCTTGTGAATTTGCTCCAAAAATGAGACTGTGCGCGAATTTTAAAACCCCTGTGATTTAGTGAATCCCAAATTTGAGTAAGTTTTAGTAGTTTAAGTTAAATATTTAATTTGTTTTAATTTATATTCTAACTACGATGTCGCAAAAGTCCGCTAAAACACACCTTATCGAGGCCCTTGCTTGCAACGCAATCCTGGCGATGGAAACTGAAGAAGAGGAAATTGACGACATTATTGAAAACTTTGAGAACGATTTAAGTGCAGTGTTGTGCATTCGATATGCGACTTCTCGAACCATTAAAACTCCAAAATCTAAAGAGTGGATTTTTAGTGTCTTGCCAAATTATGCCGAAAGAGAGTTCAAGGAAAATTTAAGAGTGTCAAGGACAGACTTTGGTAGAATATTAAACATAATTTCTCCCTACGAAGGATTTTCAAACATCGAACCAGGGAAACAATTTCCAATTGCAATCCAATTAGCCGTCGCACTATTTCGATTCGGGGTGAACGGTACTGGGGCGTCTTATTCGAAACTGGCTCAAAAATTTGGAATTGGTAATGGAACAGTTGATGCTATCACCAAGAGAGTAATAAAGGTAAATATGAAAATTATATAATTATCATGCTTACAATAAAGTGTATGTTAAAGGGTTTTTATATTAAGAGGTGTTTTAAATCTTTCAGGCTATCGTATCAGTTGAAAAAGAATGGATTTACTGGCCTGATGAAACTGAACGCGAGAAATTGGCTGAATTATGCCCCCAGCTTCCAGGCTGTATCGGAATTGTTGACGGCTCCCACATTAATTTAGAGGAAGCTCCCATCAACGATCCCCAGTCTTATTTTTCACGTAAAATGAGATATTCCATTCACCTACAAGGGATTTGTGACGCAGGTGTGCATATTATACTTTAACCATTGCCTATTTTTATCAAATGTTGTACATATATTCTGGTATTTCGATTTTTGCAGAGTTGCGATTGAGACATATTTTAGTTGGATACCCAGGATCAGTACACGATGCGCGAGTGTTTGCAAATTGTGATATTGCGAAACACCCTGAAAATTATTTTAACCTAGGGCAATGGATAGCCGGCGATTCAGCCTACAAACTTCAGCCGTACTTGATTACCACGCTTCGGACTAATGCAGTTATTGGAACACAAAAAGAAAGAGGTGCATCTCAGTAGTACTACTAATCGGTTTCGATTGTAAAATTAATATTTACTTATTACAATGCAGATAAGTTCAACAAAGTGTTTTGCAACTTCCGTGTCAAAATTGAACAAGTGTATGGGGGTCTAAAAGAAATTTTCACGAGTCTGAAGGAGCTAAGGATGCAAATTAACTTTCAAGATGGCCATCAATATGCTGTACAATGGATTACAGCTTGTTGCGTGCTATACAACATCATTTTGGAGTCTCTTGACGAATATCCGGTCACAGACGAAATGCTAGGTGATGAGAATGATCAGGTCAATCCCCGAAATGGGAACCTCCGACCGTCAGCTATTGAAAAACGGGATGAAATATTTAATTATGTTCAGAGCCGATAAATATCATTTCATAATTAATAAATATACGATAATTCTTAATCTAGAAAGCACATCAGTTTGTCAATTACTAGATTTTTTATTTGTCACAAATTATTGCCAAATATTTATGAAGCATATTTTGCGAGTTCTAGTTTAAGTTTACGCTCTTCGTTCTTCAATCTTTGTTCCTCCAAAGCCATCTTTTTCATTTCGACTTCATGAAAAGTCTGGTTTTTTTGTCTCTCAATATCTAATTTACCGAGTTCAATTTCTTTTTTCAACAAAAAGTCTTCTTTCTGAAGGTCCAGGGCTTGCATATCCATTTTCTCCTTGCGATCGAAAGTTTCCTTTTCAAATTGTAAACGATGAACTGCAAGGTCAGATCGCTGCTTTGATGCTTCTGCCATCAATCCCATGCTCGTCATGACCGGAGGTTTTCTCTTCCGATTGACGGAGTCGAACGTTCCTGATTTTTGGACACTGGGAGCGGTCCCGACTTCGTCTAAAGTATTGTTTTCCGTTCCTATTTCCACCTCGATTTCTGAATGTGTAATACCATACTCCGTGATGTCTAACAACTCATCCATATTACTTGAGGGTAATATTCTATTACCGGATTTATTCCAAGGTGGTATAAAACTAGTTGTAATACCAAGCCGATGAACCGATTTGTCAATACCACCTATTTTTTTTCATTACCAAGAGTGCAAATTAAACTGTAAAAAAATAGTGAAACGTTTTCAAGAAATTTAATTTCTACATAAATGCGTTTGTAGATTATAAATACGTACATACATGAGCTTAATTATATCTTTAGACAAGCACCATCGCTCTATCTTATTTTACATTAGCGTGGAAGTGGAGGATTACCGGAGGATTCTGGGTATTAGGTTGCCTCGTATATATATTTTTACATAACAGCTTTAACCCATCAATTGTTTATTATTACGCAATCCGGACAATCGATTAGTCTGCGTCAAAGGAAAACTAGGCTTATACAATTTTATTATATAAATTTCATAATCCAGTCGCTTTGATATAACTACATACATAGGTGATAAAATTTGATCCAGCTATTGGTATTCCCTCTGCGTCAAAGGAAAACTAGGCTTATACAATTTTATTATATAAATTTCATAATCCAGTCGCTTTGATATAACTACATACATAGGTGATAAAATTTGATCCAGCTATTGGTATTCCCTCCACCCTGAACTGTATCTGTATTAGAACTGTATTTGGATACGGGGTGCGGAACAGCCATAAATAGCGGTCAGTAGATTAGTGACGACGGTCAGGGAAACAACGCGTTAGTACATCGATAAATTTTTTAGAGACATTTTCTATGAGAAAGATGGGAATTACTGCGGGAGTGGTTTTGGCAAGTTGTGTCCTTGTCACACTTGCCACAGCTTCTTCCTCACCTGGCACGACGGAAATCCAATACTTCATCGTGAATGCGTAGTAAGCAGTCAAATAAATAAGTTAGAGTGGGGGGTAAATTTTAAAAAATAAATTCGGATGATATACATCTTATAAAACTTGTCGCGTAAAAAATTTAGATATGACAATTAATTATAGTATAAATTTGATAGTTTAACCATAAAAGAAAGCTTAATACGTTTGACATGCAAATTTGTATAACTTTAAATACTTAAAATAGCAATATACCAAATCGTGACCTTCCGGGTGATCTGAGTGACCCCTACTTGGTTATCAAGAACAGAACAGGCGGCACCGTCTATAGGTCAAACTATCAAGATAACAAGATAAATGCGACCTTCGACCCGGTCTCTTTTAACGTGCTACCTAACGAGGTTAACATATAATTATGTTGTAAGATGTAGGCCAACAACTTATTTGAAATGTGTTTTAGATGTATCACATCGATATTTTGGATCGCGATCCCATAAGTGATGACGAGACTTGTGGCAGTGTCTACGTACTGGGGCACAGTCTGGTGGGAAGTCCCCATAATTTGTCTAACCCAAGTGGGGGTGGGTCGTGTTTCGCTGGAAATTTCCAACCCTCCCACCAACAACTACAAGTACAACGACAACTACAACGACCTTACGGACGACAACCATTCAAGCAACAACGACACCGGAACCAACAACCACCCTTAGAACGACTACAACCACACAGCCCGGTTGTGTCACATGTGCCGCGGTAAAGTTTGAGTTGGCCGGTATGATTTTTGCTATAGCGGGAATTTTGTCTCTGGGGATATCCCAATGATTAAAGTGGGCGGGTAGCGTACGAACACACATCAACGTAGATGAAAATATATAAGTGACTTATATGATTTCAGCAAGATTATATATTGCTGACATTAGCAATAAAATTTAATTTAATAATATCGAATAATTCGATCGGAATTAGCTTGGTGTGTTTTTTCTTGGTGAGCATAAAGTAGACATGAGTGTGGCAAAAAGTATGACTCATGGTTACGGCGAGGCCATGATATGATTTGTGTGAAGTTAGCTAATCTAAAAGTTGCAGCTAAGTGCTACCGAATTTGGTGCCTCGTACTAAAATACCCGTAGGAACTCCGAAGTGACCCCCATCATGTTATTCATGTCAAAAGGGGTGTGCCCATCGTGACCACACCCCCCGCTGGGGTAAATTGAGATTTTTAATACAAATTGTGCAGGATGACTAGATAATAACAAAAGATGGGTTTTGACATGGGTCACACCCCCTGGCGGGGTAAAATGAGATTTTTACTTCAAAATTTACAGCTTCACTATAGAACAAAAAAAAGTTATATTAGAAGTGACTACAGCCTCCGGTGGGGTAGACTGAGATATTTACATCATCTAGTACACAATAATGACAAAATAACTCCTACAAAAATTGGAAAACTATGCGACTCAACCTATGTAGGGGTAAAGTGATATTCTACCCTATATAATACCTAAGGATTAATTGGGACATACATTTATTTTTCGAAACAAACTGGACAACCCTTTAGGTTAGTTCACAATGCTCACACGGTCTATGATGTTGGCATCCAACCGTAATCATCCTTGGGATGGAACCAGACATCCCAATGGGGAAATAAACAAATGTGCAGCTATTGTTGTAGCCTATACCTAGTATGGTCTCTCATCTTGTCCCTCGTTATTTACCAAACCAGAAATTATTGAAAATATGTCTACTTGATTAAGAATATATTATTTTGGCAAATAAGGGTCAATATTTCTGGAAACCTCAACCTGACACCTGTTTGCCAAAATAAATGTATTTGGGACCATGTTTGTGGCTCATATTGCGAGTGGTATCTCATATTGCACCTCATTTAAACTACACCAGACATTGCTTTGGTAAAATTACCAAATGTAGAGCCATGGGTGTGGCTAATACTGCGTGTGGTCACGCTTCGTGCACCTCAGTAATTACCGAGCCAGAAATTGTTGAACATAGCTCAGTTTGATTAAGCTTGGACGAATTTCTCAACTACCGTTGAAGATTTCTGGAAAACTACACCAGGCATTGCTTTGATAAAATTACCACATAAAGAGCTATGGGTGTGGCTAATAGTGCGTGTAGTGTCCCTCCATGCACCTCATTAATTACCGACCTAGAAATTGTTGAACATTGGTCAGTTTGATTACGCTTGGACGAATTTCTCAACTACCGTTGAAGATTTCTGGAAAACTACACCAGGCATTGCTTTGATAAAATTACCACATAAAGAGCTATGGGTGTGGCTAATAGTGCGTGTAGTGTCCCTCCATGCACCTCATTAATTACCGACCTAGAAATTGTTGAACATTGGTCAGTTTGATTACGCTTGGACGAATTTCTCAACTACCGTTGAAGATTTCTGGAAAACTACACCAGACATTGCTTTGGTAAAATTACCAAATGAAGAGCCATGGGTGTGGGTAATATTGCGTATTGTCACGCTTCGTGCACCTCAGTAATTACCGAACCACAAATTTTTGATAGTAGCTCAGTTTGATTAAACTTGGACGAATTTCTCAACTACCGTTGAAGATTTCTGGAAAACTACACCAGACATTGCTTTGGTAAAATTACAAAATGTAGAGCCATGGGTGTGGGTAATATTGCGTATTGTCACGCTTCGTGCACCTCAGTAATTACCGAGCCAGAAATTGTTGAACATATGTAGCTCAGTTTGATTAAGCTTGGACGAATTTCTCAACTACCGTTGAAGATTTCTGGAAAACTACACCAGACATTGCTTTGGTAAAATTACCAAATGAAGAGCCATGGGTGTGGGTAATATTGCGCATTGTCACGCTTCGTGCACCTCAGTAATTACCGAACCACAAATTTTTGATAATAGCTCAGTTTGATTAAACTTGGACGAATTTCTCAACTACCGTTGAAGATTTCTGGAAAACTACACCAGACATTGCTTTGGTAAAATTACCAAATGTAGAGCCATGGGTGTGGCTAATACTGCGTGTGGTCGACCTTCGTGCACCTCAGTAATTACCGAACCACAAATTTTTGAGCATAGCTCAGTTTGATTAAGCTTGGACGAATTTCTCAACTACCGTTGAAGATTTCTGGAGAACTACACCAGACATTGCTTTGGTAACATTACCACATAAAGAGCTATGGGCGTGGCTAATATTGCGTGTAGTGTCCCTCCATGCACCTCATTTATTACCGACCTGGAAATTGTTGAACATTGGTCAGTTTGATTAAGCTGGGATTAGTTTGTCAAATACAAGTCAAGATTGCGGGAAAGTCAAACCAGCCATGGCTTTGGAATAACTAGGTAATGCAGAGAGGTTAGCCTGGGTAATACTGCGTGCGGTCTCCGTTCTTGGACCTCATTTATTGCCAAACCAGAAATAGCTGAACATTAGCATTGAACATTTTAAAGAAAATAAAGCGCCACTGGGCAACCTCTTGCCAGATTTTGATCATTCTTAAACATAATACCTATGCAATATGTAATTTATGATGTTCTACATCATGTAGACTGCCTGGGTTGCATTTTGTCCATCCAAAACACTTTTGACCGGGTCAGTGGACAAAAGCGGTCAAAAGTAGTTTTAACCACTTTGGTGGACAAAAATAGCCGCATATGTATTTCCTTATGGAGAAAGCTTTTTTAAAAATCCATATTTTTGAAATCTGACTTCATATCCATGATCTCCACAAAGTTCTGAACATTTTGACATATAACAAGGTCGGTTTTAGACAGTTTTCGTCGAATTTACAATTTTTCATAAGAATACATGGGAATTTTAAGTAGTATCCTAATTTAACTTTATATGTATATTACCGACTTATTACGTCCAATTTTGGTGGACAGCAAAAAGTGTCTTTGGACCAATGTCCGGCAACAAGTAGTTTTGGCTACTTGCAACCCTGTAGACTATATGTATGCAATTTTCACAAACTTTGCAGTGCAAAGTCTCCAGTCGATCAGGCAAGTTTTATGGGAGTTATTTGTACGATAGATGGAAAATCATAAGCCCATCCGGCTAACAAGCCAACAAGGAGGCTCAAATTATTTATCTTCATTGTTCATTAATTTCTTGAACTAGTTTTCTCAGTTTTCAAACACCTTTCTTGGTTCTATCACCGACTTTACACTTTTTGTGATATTACGTAACGCCGGACTTTGACCCCCCCCTCCCCCTGTGTCGTTGTAACGCTACTTTGAGCACTCCCCCCTCTCGCGTTACATAATTTATGCACGACCCCTTATAGGCTAGTTATCAATAGTTTTCAAATAGTCGTGGTCAGAATTTGCGTAATGTTTGTCGTTTCGGAAGAGAGCAGTTTTTAAGCGTACGAGATAGACAGTCCACCTCGTTAGAGTCTATCATAGACTCTTACTAGTTTTTAATATCTTTGTATTTAGGAAATGCATAATTCTGACAAATGAAATTTCGCGTCGCATCTCTGGAGTTGGTTTTTGCCAAATGCAACGAGGATGCAAAAATTACTTTAAAACCTATCAGTACAAGTTTGCACACAATTAAAAGGACTACCATTAAGTTTGTTGAAATTTGAATGGGATGTAGCATCAATTTTATTATATTTTTTCATAGTAACATGGAAATAATTAACAAAAAGTTACGCTAAATTGCAAAACATGGCTATATTTGTACGGATGTAAACCAGAAATATTTAATATAAGTTAGTTAAAAATTAAAACCGGAATATATTCAAGCACTAGACGGTCCAAGGCCTTTGTGATGGAATGGAATTTTTCTTACGGATCACAGCCTATATAGTATATCAAATAAATAGTAAATTAGTTACCACTTTCGGAAGTTTAATTAATAATAATTAATTTCTTACATATTTTTCAGCTTACCTCCTGATATGTCGATATTTGCTGCCAATTCGCTCATTATATACTTAATTTGTCCTTCTTCAAAGCTCCGCCTCATGTCTGCTTCGAGTTTTTTCAACCTTTCCTCGTCAGCATCATAGCTGTACGTTCCGTCCGGCGTGTTGCACATGTCGACTAATTCATTTATGCGATCGTCAATTTCGCTCAATGATTCGCGCTCATTCTGCCTTCGTAGAAATGTGCTTAGCACGTCACAAACGTTGGACTTAAAAAAAGATAAAACTTTGCAGCCTGTTGGAGTTGTGAGAAGTAGCCAGTGCGCAGCACAATATCGAAAAGCTAAGCACGTTCTTATGTTAATATTTTCCAATTTATGTGAGGGATCTGTCAAGGCTTGTAAAAATAATAACGTCATAATTACGCATTGATTTTTACCCTGTTTCGGTACATTTTTGTGGCGCATTTTCCATTCGGTAGGTAGATTAAAGTGGGAATTGACTGCGTCGGATATCGTTTCTACAAATTTTTTTCTTGTGGTCTCAGGGATGTGGGCAGGAAGTGAGTCCAAAATTTGCAATTCCTCTTCTTGGAATTTCATGACTCTCAACCAACAATGCAAATCGGCATAACAAATAAAATATAAATTTCCGTCCTTGGTATTGAAACTATCCGAATCAGGTAGAAGTGTTTTGTCCACTTTGAATTGTGCCTGGAACGGGGTCATCTGACGGATGAAGTTACTATAGACAAGTATATTACGATCCGGAGAAAGTTTTTGCCGCAGCATGATTTGCTGTGCAACTGCGTTGGCAACACTTGAATTTATCATATTATCATCTTTTAACGTCAATAAGTCATCCTCGTCGGCAGTACCGAGAACTGGCGATGAGAAAAGGTTGCGAATCACTTTTGTCTGATTCTCCCAATAACTCTTCGAAATTTTCAGTCCTAGCCTGATGTCCTGCTTAAATTGTTCTCGTGGTGTAAGGTCAATTGTAATTTCAGTTTCAATTTTTCTCTCGAGTTTTTCTTCAGATGAACGATAATATCGTTGTATAGTCCTGTCCTCACCGTCCAATTTAAATG